CATAAGAAAAAACGTTATCGCCTTTTGTATGAAAATTTACAGCTTCACAATCCTCTAAGTGTTTTGTTTGCATTTATTCGGCTACCCCTTTTTTTTTACATGGGGAAATGCCTACGCATACCCGCCTCGCGGGGGCCCAGGACGGGTTATGTCGGACTCGCACCGACTAAAACCCCATGGTGTTCCACCTTCGTCGCATATTGGCAGGGCTACGGGAACGCTTTCGCACACTTCCGCGGCCCTACTAGCGACTGCCGCCCCATGGCAGCACCTCCTCGGGAGTGGAATATTCCTTCCCGTTCTCCTTCCCAAGTAAGGCGTACCAGAACACATGGCACGCCTTCCTCCACGACCTCCAATTGCATCTGCGCAACAGACGCCCCCGCGTCCGATGCGCGAAGGCCATGGGGCCAGGAAAAACGAGCACTTAGAAGTACTAGCCTTCCCGACCCCAGCGGCGGATCTGGTCTATGGCTCCGCCGCCAACCAAGATTCGGCTGCGGAGGATAGGGAGAGCGGCGCCTCGCAATACCGACAATCCTCTCCCCCCGCAGCCCCATCACCACCGCATCAACGGTGCGGCCCCGTTTGAGTCGCGGAGGATAGGGCGAGTGGCGCATCGCCATACCAACACTCCTCTTCCTCCGCGACTCCACCTCGGCTGCAGCGGTAGAGGGTGCGGAGTCCCCACTCGCTGCAGTCCACCAGCACACATCCGAAGTGGGCTCCCCAAGCCCACTCGGAGTGGCCACCTCAGGCCGGCCCTTCACCTCGGGCCAGCCACGTGGGTTTCTCTTTGTTCACCGTGGGAGACCAAGCCACGGCTACTAAGCCCCCCGGCCACGACAAGGCGGGAACCCGCTCGGGGGGATTCGGCTACCCCTAAATTTTAATGTGGCAGGTCAAATAACACGCCAAAAAGGCTACGAGGTCTATATACTAAAATCATATGTGAAAGTGCGAAGATACCTAGCTTCTTTTCTAATTCATACAAATATCACTTTAATCCTAAGGAGTGACAACACATCAGAATTTTGATTTTCAATGATATATGCCATAGAATACTATAATACACAATAGAATGGCTGTCAACCTTATTTAGTACGAGGATCGGCGTCGCCGGGAGCACACATACAAGCAAATACGTCGTATTATTACTACTATAAACCCGATTCGCTGTGTTGACAGACTGAGCGAATTTACACATTTTAGGCTTTTGATTAATGTTCACGATCATCATTAAAAAAAAAACGTTTTATATTGTAACACATATTTATTTGTAAATAGTGTGAAACTAATCGTAAATACAATCGCAGTAAGTATCAGTTTTTTCTTATTCTAAATAAAAAGTTGTTGTACCATCATATTAGTCTACGCATTTAAGCAAAACGTAGTATATAATGGTATCACCGCTACGGATGTAGTCTTGTTTAGTGATTTATCCATAACCAGTAAGCACCGGTAAAACTTTAGTGTATTTATAATGATTTCTTATATTTACGCGAACACTACACATTGATTAAAACTACTTTTACGGATTTTATCGCGTTTATTTTACTTTTAATTACTTTTATTTTTAATTCAAGACGTTTATTTTACGTACGTATTACGTACATATAGCTGATGTGAAGCATCAACGTTCCGGGAAGTCTGCAGTTTGCGATCATATCCTAGACGGCCCCAACCATTACATCAGATTTGATAGACCACAAATCCTCGCGTAAGAACACCGATTCCTACCAAGGATGATACGTGAGGCTATTGAAATTAAAAAACATCCTAATTTCAATAGAGAAGGAGGCTGGGTACTACCACCTGCTTGGGATCCTATAATCAATAAAATTAAAACTAAACCCAAGCATACCACTGCAAGACCTCAGGACATAGTTCATTTTGCATAGATCGGACCATAAACAATAATTAAAAAAGCTGAAGGTACTCCGGGTTTAACAATGACATCGGGACGTCAGTCATCTCAGTCCCCCATGACCATGGGTGCTGGAAAGCGCCCGAAACGTCGGGTATTAAAAATAAAAGTAATTAAAAGTAAAATAAACGCGATAAAATCCGTAAAAGTAGTTTTAATCAGTTGAGTGTATTTATTTTGTACAATTTTACACTGTAAGATAAATACTAAACTATTCACTTTGTAAATCATTATCAATGGGGTCTACTCGGACTGGTTTGACATCCATAAAGGTGTCAGACAGGGCTGTGTGGCTTCCCCGTGGCTGTTCAACCTATTTATGGACAGTTGTTTGCAAAATTTGAAAGTTGAAGAATGCGGATTAAGAATGGGTGGGTTAACCGTCAAATGCCTTTTGTACGCCGATGATCAAGTTATTCTTGCGTCGTCGGCGGCCGAGTTGCAAATGATGGTTACATTAATGAACGGATCATTAAAAAAAAGGGGTACGAAAATGAACGCATGTAAGACGAAGGTTATGAATTTTTGAAAGAGAAGAAAGTAAAACGATTTGTGAAATAAGAATAGAAGGGGAGTTGATCGAGAAAGTAGATGAGTTTGTATATTTGGGCTGCGTATTTAGCAGGGATGGGAGATATGACAAGGATATAGAACGACGAGTGAATGCGGGATTTATTGAAAACGGGCCAAATTAGGAGTACCCTTAACCGACGAGCATGTATGCGTAGGTGTATGGATGTGAAGGAGGCAAGAGATCGTGCCAAATGGAAGTCTGTAGTCTCTGCCTACCCCTCTGGGTGACAGGCGTGAGTGTTTAAGTTTATGTTTATATATCACTTTGTAAAAGTGCAATGAAAACAATGTTTTGTGTGTTCCAAATACATGATCCTTTGTAAATTTTGCGATTAAAAATTCCAAAATTTTACTTTAAGAAATATAAGACAAAAAAGTAATTTACTGCCAAAATGTATTATAGATAGATTTGAGATAGTTTAATGGCTGTTTAAGCCAAAAAAAGTGATATCACAGCTAAGTAGGCTGTAAAGCCAACTTTAGTTTAGTCATCATTAGCCATTAAACCTTCAATTCGGATAAAAATGGTGAAATGGGTATAAAACTTTGATCAAGATTTGGTATTCAGATAGTTGGTAAGATTAAAAAGGCTACGTTACCTTTTATCCTCAAATAGATAATGTGATATGACTGAATTCCACGTGGACGAAAACATATTCGTATATTTCTTAGGATGCTCAAGGTCGCTCAGCGAGCTATGGAAAGGGCTATGCTCGGAGTTTCTCTGCGTGATAGACTCAGAAATGAGCATATCCACAGTAAAACCAGAGTGACCAACATAGACCAACGAATTAGTAAGCTGAAGTGGCAATGGGCCAGCCATATAGCTCAAAGAACCGATAACCGATGGGGAAGATAGGTTCTGGGGTGGCAGCCTTTTACCAGTAGGCGTAGTGTAGGGCGACCCCCCACTAGATGGAGTGACGACCTGGTAAAACATGCAGGAAGTCGATGGATGCAGGTGCCTCAGGACCGTGCTTTGTGGCATTACTCGGGGGAGGCCTATGTTCAGCAGTGGACTTGTGAAGAGCTGTAATGATGAAATGATGATCTTCGAAACGAGTTGGCCTATTTATCTACGTTAGTTAACATACACAAATTGCAATAGGTTGCTATGAATACAAAAGTAACTGAAACTAAATGTTGGTCTATTAAGAAGGTACTTTTTCCTTTAATAAATAATACCGTATTTACGAAAGAATAAAATTTATTTAAAGTTATGGAATAGCAACATTTATTAAAAGCTTATTAGGCCTATTTATTTGTAAATAGCATGCAATTTGGCATTTTCTAAATAATTTGCATGCGAAATTTGGAAACAACTGTAACGACAAAACACATCTCGTGATGACATTTATACGAGTGAATTGACGTCTTGTGGCATTTTAGTGGCTACACGGGCTCCGCCCACACCCCCGTTCTATTATGTACGTATTATAATATTCTATGGGTCTACCCAACTCTTTGTGCGTAATGAGGTGTGAGGTGAATTTATAGTATATACTACATATATAATATAGTATTGATAGTAACCAGAATATCAAATCTAAAAACTTTATTGCAAATTTTTAATGTTATCCTATAGAGCGAAAAATTTGATAAAAAATGTTAAAATTGGGTTTATTCGTAGGTCATTAAATTTATATTTTTTATTGTATTTTATGGTATCTATTTAGCTTTTCATTAAGCCAAGTACAAATTTAAAAGCGACAGTATTTTCCGGCTTCGGAATCGGTAAAATTTTGTTACATCTCTAGTTCTTAGCTTAGCTTCAAATTTCTGTTGTTTTTGACACATCAATATTTCTTTATTGGTAACGTCAAAAGAGATGTGTTGACATTTATACGTGTAAATTGATATGTTAGTGACATATTAGCTACACGGGCTCCGCCCACTCCTTCGTTCTATTATATATGTATTATAGTATTCTATGATATATACCATCAGGTGGACTGGGTGCTTATTTATAACCTTTATTCTATAAACAAAAATTTAAAAATGAACTCTGGCTCCAAAATAGTCCTTGACAATGACATGGAATACCTAGTATTACAGAAAAGAACATGAAGGCAGCTTCCACGCAAACAGTGTTGCATAAGAAAATTTGTTCTTGTAACCAGTGCAAGTTATGTTCAATTTCAATGTAAGTAATTAACACTAAAACATCTCAGATTATTACCTGCTCCGTGGCGCAGTGGCTTAGCAATGAGTGGCTACGCCGGGGGCAGCGGGTTCGAATCCCGCACGGAACAAGTACTTGCGTGGCCTACAAATAATTGTTCCGGGTCCGGATGTTTGTCCATGTGCAATTTATATTTGTAAACTGCCTCACAATACAGGAAAAAATCCTAGTGTGGGGTTAACGTTTCTTTTGTTCTTTTTAAAAAAAAATTATCATACATATAAAGGTTTATTTTAGAAAATGTCAAAACTTTGATTTTATCTAGTTGTGCATTATATCAGTGATAAGCCAGTCAAAATTTACTAGACAAAACCTTACCTAAGGTAGAAGCTGGTACAACAATCAAATGTGTGCCTTTAGCCTGGCCGGTCTCCTTGAGATGCGCCAGAAAGGCGATAACTTGCACAGTCTTCCCGAGACCCATTTCATCAGCAAGTATACCAGATACACCCTGTTTATGTAGAACGGCTAGCCAGTTGAGGCCTACCAACTGATACGGAGCCAGCTTCAAACTGGAATCATATAGAATAAATTTTCATTCTAAATAGTAATATCAAATTAGTAAAGATAGTATTTCCATTCATTTAGTAGTGCCACACTTAGCAACCCTTTTTTATATTTCGTAGCTTTTTTTATAATTATTTTGATTGATCATCAGGAAGATACAGCAGCCTGTTCTCCGTTTCATTTCCTTCTGTCACCTGTTACAACATCCAGGGAATGATATAGGGCAGTTGGTTTCCTTACGCCGCCATTACACTGTCTTATTACAAAACTTGGTTAATTGATAGTTTTGGGCTAAAACTATGGGTTTAAAATGAGTATTCCTAACAAAATAAATCCCTTTAGTCCAGGAGGAATCGGCGCATGAGTATCTACCATAAATTATTCCACCTCAATTTTTTTTATGCGATTCTTTTTAAATTGTCTTACTTATGATATATGCCTGTGGTTGGCAAGGGGCATCTCTGTGCTATATTTTTTTTTTAACTGAAATTGTTTAAAAAATTGCAAGGAAATGTTGCTTTCAAATGGGACAATTTTTAATAATGCAAATAAATGCACTCCCACGTTCGTATACACACTTGATCTACATGTGCAACATATGTTTGGCATAAGGTACTCTTGCTCCGTTTCTGCGAACACTTAAGTAGAAATTTACACTATGTTTTCGGATTCTTAGAGTGAGTTTGAGAAAGAGTTACTACATATATCATATATACATGTTACAGCCATGCTGCAGCTATACTATGGTTGTAACACGAAAGGGTTTGCTCGACCGGGGAAAGACCACGACCTCACAGAAAACCAGCGTAAAATAGCAGCTTAATGCTGCTGTGTTTCGTATGGTGAGAGTAGAGAACCGGAGACCCGTTTTACTGGAATCGAGGCATTCCATTTTAGTCCTCATGGGTGGCAACGCATCTGCATTTTGATTTTCAATTGGGGTTAGATGTAGATGTCTATGAGATTTGTCATGCTAAATCTATACGAAAAAAAATCTACACCACTTATGAATAATATCATGTTCCATATTTAAACACTAGGATAAAGATTAAGAATACAAGGAAAATAACTACTTTTTTAATTTACCTTTTCCTTTCACGTTTATAACAAAAATGATAGCAATATGTGGTTTTGATATCTCTTGTATGCATTATAATATAACGTAGTAGGTATCGCGATATTCAACACATTTTAATATGTACATTTGTATCACTTCACTAACTCTATTTTGACAATAAAATGCGCGCACAGTGCGAAGGTCTATTTGTTTATGACGTATGATGTGGAATGCGTACAATCATCCTCTCCACCCTGCCATGCTAATCTGGATATCGCAGATCAACTTTGCTTCGGACACGTGCAATGCGTTGCAAACGATAACTGTGTTTATTTCTAATGCACAGTTTTATCATACAAAATCAAGAGTCATAATGCGTTGCATACGTTGCGTACGTAGGATCAGTCTCTCTCAGCCTTAATTTCTTACTACTGACAAACTACTTATATTAGAAAAAACAAATTATTACAAAATATTGAAAGACAAGAAAGTACTGTTTACTATTTACACAATACAATACTTACGGTTAGGTTGGAAAAAATATTGTGTATTTTAGATGACGATAACACGATTTTAACAAAATTAATAATTGTTACTTTTTAAAATAGATTAAGCTCAGAAAAAAAATATGCGCATACATGAAATACTTAATTAAATTCTCGAATTGATTATTAAAATACTTAATATTAATCGAGATAAAAGATTATAATTCAATTGCCAGGTAAACTTCAAGTCCTTGTTTTTTAATACTTTTCAATAATATGAATGACTTCTTATTATACTAGATTATTAATCTGCTAAAAAAATATACTTACTTTCGTTAATAACTTTTGTCCATCAAATGTTGCACACAAACTTTGTGCTAGAAAAATAGCTAAAAACCCGCGCCTTAACATTCATAATTTGTAATCACTGTTAACCTACTTGGACAATCACAGTTTTTTTTATTGCAAACTAACCTTGGATCCAATGTGCTTGGTTGCTTGAGCCTACCAGCTCCAGCTGCAACTGCCGCTTCCAACTGTTGGGCTAGACCCACACACTTTTTCATCAACCGCTGAATATTATTCCTTGTACTTAATAACTCTTGTGTTGAATTCAATAATTCTGTGCTAAGCGCTTTGCTACTGTTGAATTTTTCCACCTGAAATTTAATTTAGCCATGGTATTGATAAGTTAAATCTGTAATTTTTTAATTGTATATGCATATCTTTAATTTCATGAAATTCATTTCTTCACAAGAGACATCATTCTTGGGCCAACTTGAAATTTTAACATAACTTAATGGTATTTACACATAAAAAAATACCAATATATATTATAGTGAACGGCCTAAAGATTTTATGAATATGTTTTATTAAGAGTTTTATGACTTACTTTGATATTCGTGTTCTGGTTAATATAATATGAAAACAAAATGCGCGTAACGAAGCATTGATCGACGATGGAACGAAACATATTAAAACCCCTATTAATATACAGCATTGAAGTTTGTCACATTGCTGCATTTTTGTATTTCAAACTTTTATGAGGAATATATCTTATTTATGTCACTCTCGAAGGTACAGTCCAAAAAAAATACATTGTGGAAACGAATATTAAGCATTTTCATTTTAGATGTATTACATTTTTTTTTTTTTGGTTTACTTATTATGAGATATGGTACAGTTTTTTTATAAATAATGTTAATGACAATCTATACCTGTCTTAGTAATTATGTTAAGTTTATAAAAATACTAATAAATATCTCATCATATTACCATTAAAATATAATAGCCAATATTAATTTACTTTTAAAATTGTAGACACTGCATTGACTGTAAAAATAAAGTCTGTGGTTATATACCTTTTGGTAGCACACAATACTAACTAATCAATAAAAGAGTTTACACACCACATTTGTTTGTCCATTCCCTATGTTTTTTCAGAACAAGTAAAAGGATTTTCCATCAAATTTAAAGTACTTATTTACCTATATATGTTGATTGAACCTACAACTTTGTTTTATACTATTGATTATTGAACAATGCACTATTTTAACTTATAATACCAGTGAAAACTACTGGACAATCGCTTTTGGTTTTTATTTAGGTTATTATGATATTCATATTTTAATTGTTAATTTCTCAGTATTCCCGTTAGATGCGATAAACTAATATAACTATCGTAATCTATAGACTATAAGGAATAAATCGACACTCATTTCATTAAGTTACGCCATAATTTGTGGTGGGCTCATTTTCCATAAAAAAATAAATTGTCTCCTTTGTATTCAACAACTTTGAAAATGACCATATTTTTTAGTTAAAATAATAAACACTTTTTTATTCTTCTATTTTGGTGGTATTTGGTTATTAAATTTTTGTGTTGTTTTTTGTTCTAGATTTGTGAGCCTCACAAAAAAATGAATACAAGACAAGATTTCATTTACTTTCTGTTGTGTCTCCCACGACTGACTTGACATAAACAGTTCTAACAATTCTATTAACACAAGGCAAAAAATAACTAAAAAGAAGAAAATAAGTTTTTTTTTTAAATCATCATTAGGTTAACATATTTATTAATATAAAACCAATTTCAGAAAAGATTATTGTTATGGAAAAGTCAAATATTGTTGTTGTGTATAAATGTTAAGATTTTAGAGAATTAAAATCATTACGTGCATAGAGTTAGGATCGGTTTCTTCAAAAAATGTTGAAACTTAAAAATTATATAACTTCTAAATTATGTAAATTGATGAATTAGTAATTATTAAAATTGAAACATTTTCTCTGTTAATATTCCTTTCCTCCCCTTTCCTTAAATTACTTACCATATCTAACCAGCCCTTAAATGGCCTTAGGGCAATAATAGCCTCAGCTTTCTTCTGTGAGCAACCACTCAGTAGTGACAGCTCGTTCATGTTGCTTGTGTTGAGGAACTCAAACACTTTCCTCTTATCACCCACTAAATCATCAGTTATTTCATTATCTGAATCATCACTGAAAGGAAAACAGTAATATTAAGACAATTTTGAAAACACCCATGCATAGATTAAATTTTAAGAGATTTTTTTATTTTACCGATTTCATCTGCACAAGAATAGGATAGAATCTTTTTTATTTAATATAGATTACAAGAATACTTATGAAAAGTCATTTAAGTTTTTATAGGCTTAATAAAAAATTTAAGCATTTTGATAGATAATTCCCACATATTTTCTGGCACTTTGTTGTTATAGTCCAAGGTACACTGTACTAATCAATGTAAAAGGCTCTGTGACTTTTTCCTAGCATTTACCCCTTGTTGTTAACAGTCCATGCATTCAAACTAAAATGGTTATCATAGTTGTTTGTAATGTGAACAGCAAAGGAATGGAATAGTTCATCTGAATCTGTATTTCCCTTTAATTCTCATAAGTCTTAAAGACAAGAGTACAGAAGAGGCTTTTATTACACTAAGACAGTGCTAAGATGAAGGCTACAAGACCACTTACCCCAAGGTAGGATTGTAGCTGAACACTGGCATTAACAAGTAAAATATTCTTCTATTTCTGAACCATTGCATAGGTAAGTACAACCCATCACCTATAAAAAGATGCCAAATAAAAAAAAGGTATATACCTGTCATAAACCCTATCATCTTTCCCTTTTCTGACTCCATAATCGTCATCCTCACTGCCACTACTACCTCTTCTTGCTCTCCCGCCTTTAGCTGCAAGTGGTTTCCTCACTATGACAGTGGGACCACTAGTCACCCTGACAACACCCATATTGCCATTAGATCGGGACAACTGTCCTGAGATACTAGGCCGAGGACTAACAAAGGTAGAGGGAGTGGCTTTCTCTTCACTCTCAGGGTCATATTTTAAAAGCTCATCTCTGGTTCGCTCCTCATTCCATTCTTTTTTTTACCAATGTATTTTTTATGAGCTGCAAAAAGGAAACAATGCAATAAAATAATATATCAGTTTAACATACACCTCTATATTTGATACTTTTATACTTTCAATTAATTTCAAATGAGGCCCATGTCCAGCAGAGGATTGACGTGGCTGTCGTGGTTAGAGAACTACATCTAATATACATCTCTATTTTAACCCTTCAAGCGCCATAATAATCCCATGAGTCGCATGCGCCTGGCAAATCCCGAGCGGTCGCATGCGACCGCACCCACCCACAGTACTTAAAACCATTAAAACTTATATTTAGAGACTATTTTTCTATGAAGAAGTTTAGCATTATAAAATTTTCTATCTTGTGGTCTAAACAAAAGTCAGGTTTTACTTCATTACCAAAAGATTTTATTGTATTTTGATAACAAAAAACATACCAAGCCAAAGTTGGCAGCGTGAAAATCACAATTATTTCAATACATATTACTCGAAATTATTTACGTAAAAAGATAAATTATATTCACACAAAAACCTTCGTTACAATTTTATAATAAAACACTATACTAAAGCACTAATAAAACACTAGAAAAATCCAAAAATCAAGACAACATTCAAGCGAAAATGGCGTACGAAATTAACGTAGATTATAAATAAATATTCATAGGATAAATACTCTATCCTCTAGTGCAGTTAAAAAACTGTTTTTAACTGCACTAGAGGATAGAGTATTTCATATTGATTATATAATGCTCAACTTCTTCATAGAAAAGTAGTCTCTACATATAAGTTTTTATGGGTTAAAGTGCTGTGGGTGGGCGCGACCTTATGAGACCGCTAGGGATTTGACGGCATATGGCCATTATGATGAGATCGCTAGGGGGTTGAGAGATTAAAGAACTCATTAATTATAATTCTTCTTTACGCAAAACAATCTTAAATCTTTAATTCAGACGCCGTCCTATTGCCATCGCTCGCGCGATCATGCGTGCGTCCGACGAAAATGATCGTGCGACCGTGCGTTTATATACATACTCATATCTGCGGAATGTCCTATAGAAGGTCGTGCGATCATGCGATGCGTCCGAAGTGTGTAGTTTTCGTCGTGCGATTATCGACGCATCGTATAGTTTGGACGATCGTCCGATCAAACATACTAATCAGTACTGAATGTCCTAATGGTGCTCGCGCAACCAAGGGGCGGAGGCAAGGGAGGGGTACCACGACGTGCGCTCGACTCAACCGCCTGCCATTATGGATTCCTGTATATATACCAAATTACAGATGAAATAAAATGTTTCTGTTGACATTGACAAAAATTCGTAAAAATCATCTTCGTTTTGCCGTATGTCGAAATACTGATGTTGAAGTTCCTCGCACTGATTTCTGTTTTTATACAGTATATTATGTGGTATACGTTTCTTTTAATGCTATTCACTGTTAAAGAAATATTGCTCGACAGAAAAAACTGTGCAACTTTGTTAAGAGCCATTTTGAGAGTGATCGCATTGCTCCAAAAAAGGATACACAATTTCTAATTGTGTGAGCGGATTCATCAGACGATGAAATCGCATCGCATCATCGCGCGAGCGATTGCAATAGCACGGCGCCGAAGTCTCCCATATAACTTAAAATAAAAACTGCATTCAACAATATTGAAAGTAACTGCCATGTCAAACATAAGAATAATTTTTATTCAATATCAATATTATAGGAGTTAAGTGTAAAATATATGTATGTAATAATGTATAAATGTTATGCCTGCTTCATCCATACAATTTACAAAATTGTTCAACATCATTAGCCAAGTATGGCGCTAATCTACAATAACCAAAAGTAATAGAATTTTTTTCATCATTACAGCCGAGCAGATGTTCAGTGTTGAACATATGCTACCTCAAAGATTGCCACAAAAAATAGACCTAAGCCACCTGCATCCATTAACTCACTGTATTTAGCACCATTTTATCACTCCATCTAGTTGAACACCTCATGCATGGAAGTCACCCAACACTGAACTTGTCAGTAAAAGCTACTGCCACTTTCTTATACATCAACTTACAGTTCTTCAAGATTTTGTGACCAATGCATATATCAGGGGGGTACACCTCCATACTTTAGGTTGGGGTCCAATAATTTGCAAAGACACTAGTGCCATCTTATACAATATCCGGATAAACTTTTGAACATCAAATTCTAAAAGGCGCACTAGATGGAAGCTACACCAATTCTGGTCATTGCGTATAAAATTTAATGGAATTTTCTAAAGTTGCTACATAAATATAAAGGATTAATAGTTATACGGGCATTCAAAGGCTTTTGCCTAATTAAAAATATATTGAATAAATATATAATTTTTTTTATTGGTCTGAGATGCAATAAGTTTCTCGAACTGGCAAGTAGCAACTTTATATGACATAATGGCTACTGGCGTGTGAGCAAGTCGTTGTTTTTAGAACGCTTTTGCCATTTATGTGATTTTCGGTTGTTGCTACAATAAGTTTGGTTGAGTTGAAACCTATTTATTTAATAATACCTACAATCATTCTACTAATAACAAATCATCTATTTTATTGACTGTGAACATTTTTAACCATAGTGTACAATATTATACAAACCAAAAACAAAAACAATTTCTGTAAAACCCGATCAACTAAAGTTATGTAAAATATAAAAATAAAATCATTTTATAACTTGCCATTGGAGATATCTCTGGGAACATTTCCAGCATGTTCCGAAACCTTCTCTCCTTTACAGCTGTAGTGAGTTCTACTGGTTTATTGACAGGCTTTTTAGCTGGTGATGCAGAATCATCAGAATCAGAATCAAGTACCCTAATCCTCTTGTAGACAATTGGTCCATTCCTACTAACAGCATTGGGGGCAGGCATTCTAATTTGAGGTTCTGAAGAAATTAAACACATATTTATTAATAGATTATCATGCCCTACCAAAGATTATCTATTTTAGTGAACTTCAAAAAAGTTTGCCTGTGAAATTTTTGTATTGTTTTTATTGATTAAGGGTGACAAATTAGAACACAGTCCACATGATGACAAGTGGTTGCTGTGACCCATAGACAAACATCTAAATATATCCTAAATTAATTCAAATCAATTGAAATGCAGATGCACACTTTGATTCTTCTAATTACTTCCTAACAATTTATATAGGACTGCCCTTGTTGTATAACTTAATTAATAAAAAGAGAATTATTAATATTGGTTGACGATTGACGATGATATCACACATTTTTGACATGGTAGAACCATGCTGTAGCTATATTGTGGTCGGCTCGACCAGGCTAAGACCAGGCTCTCACAGAATACCAGTGTAAAATAGTACCTTAATGCTGCTGTTTTTTTGTAGAAGAGAGGGCAAACAAGCATGCGGCTCACCTGATGGTAAGTGACTACCGCCGCCCATGAACATCCGCAACACCAGGAGAGATGTGTTGCCAAGCTTTTAAAGGAGTAAGCTCTTTTCTTGAAGATCCTTAAGTCGTATCATGCTATTTTTCATATGGTGAGTGTAGAGCGAGACCCTTTTTACTGGAAACGAGGCATTCCATCTCAGTCCTCAGGGCTGGCAAAGCATCTGCATTTTGATTCTTAGTTGAAAATAAATATTGATGTCTATGGGCCACAGCATCCACTTACCATCAGGTGGACTGTGTGCTTGTTTATCACCCTTATTCCATTAAAAAAATATAAATGTAAACTGCTTTCTTTTTTTATTCAAAGAATTACACAATGTGAAAATATTTTAGTCCATACATATGGACATACACAACATTCACAAACCACTTGGAAAGATTTAAAAATATAAATTATTCTATAAATTTAGTTAAAGTGCACAAAATGAGACACATTATATTGAACACTGTATGATTGTAAATTATATATTACTATATATTACCCTCACTCATTTACTTTTCTAGGAACTGTTGTTATATACTTATTTATAATCTTTTCAGTATATTTATTTTACTGTTTTGTTAAGAAAATCAATCTAATAATCCAGCAAACAATCAATAAAGACATTTTATTTTAAATTTCACGTGGTGCAACTTAAACCATAAAACACAATACGCTTGCGATTATAAGTTTACCATAATTCTTGAAAATAACCGCTTACAAACTGGAAATATTTAGACAGTCAGAATTTTACCAAATCACACACCATACCATACCATTTACAAAAACTAGAACCTTGAAAGTCGTGTTTCGATGGGGTAACAATTCAAACGTGTTTAGTGATTATAGCAGTCGGTATACAGTTTGTTGATATACTGCCAGTTTCGTAAAAAGACCATTACTTACGAGAGTTTGAAGATGATGCCGCAATAGCTACTGAACCACTAGTTCCTGATGCGTCAGGTTTTCTTTGAAACCTATACTGTCTTAGAAAACTCAACACGCTAGGGCTAGTGCTTTCAGACATCTTAACTTATTCTATAGACTATTGGACTGGTTGAATAAGAAACTGCAAATTCTTTAATTAATTCTATAAAATTATGAAAATGTAATGTCGCATCACCAAGTGTAGGCACTAAGACAACACTGCGGCCATACAGTAATCTATGACTTCGGCCTTACTGCGGCCATTTTTGTCCGCGAGACTTCAAGTACAACTCGGTATGTCAACCTAGAATCGTTAAGAAGAAAATCGATGTTTTATGTTAAGAAAACCTAACTCGATCACGTACACTGAACTGTATTACTTATTATACTCTTTGACTCCGTCGAAACGTTGGTGGTACGACATTTATTTTCGTTGAATTGTGTGTAGTGTGTACAAAACAGTTTAGTTTATAAACCATATCACCCAAAGCGTAAAACGAAACCTTATTTTGTCACCCATATATTCTAAGTCTATGATTGTCACCCTACTTTCTGTCTGTGTCCGTCGTAGCATAGTAAAAACAAAATAGTGGATTAACTCCCGCTCCGCGCGATACTTAAATGCCTACTGTTGCAGGGTTGTCACTGTCTAACAGCTAAGTCTCATTTAGTTTTATAAGTAGTTATAACATTTACAAACATAATACATAGGTACAGATATGTTTCTATGAATCATATTTGTTAATCATTTCTTTAGTTTCTTCTCAAACGTGCTAGATGCTGAAAGAGTACAACGTGTTGTGGTCAAAGTGTTACTTTTTCTTCTGTATAGACGTCCTACAACACTGGTGTATGAAAAAAACACAGGTCCTTAGTGTGAGAAAATTATTTATATAACAATGTATTAGATGATTCCATAGGTACTCTGCACCCAATCAACTTGACAGTAAAAACATAATAGAAGATATAAATTAGATAAATACTTAGTCCCTAGAACACATAATGATTTTGCTAAAAGACATTTTTTTATCTTGCGCCATTACTACACAATAAATTTAATAAAATTTGTATTAATTAAAGCTACACCAACCATCAAATCAAAAACAAGATTATTAATTAGCTTAAAACTTATGACTATGACGCTACTGAATGTCTATTAAACCTCTAATATGTTAATGTAATTATAATTTTTTATAATGTTGATATAAATAATTTATAATTCAGGCAATCATACATGTCCCAAAATACAAAATCTACTTACAGTAAAACAGTAAAAACACACTTTCACCACACAAACACTCATGTACACACACACACACACTCACGCACGCACGCACGCACGCACGCACGCGCGCACGCACGCAAGCGCGCACGCACGCACGCACGCCCAGCAGCACGCACGCACGCACGCACCGCACGCACGCACGCACGCACGCGCGTTAATATGTTGTAATGTTTATTTTATTTATGCAGTTAAGTCTTTGATATTAAATCAAGTTACACTTTTTGAGCGTGGTGACCGATAAGAAAACAATTTTTTTTCTCTTATTGAATAAATGAGAAGTTAATATTGTTTAAAATATTTTTAATATCTTTCAATACATGTAGGTTATTCAGGAATTTTTATCATTGAGTTAGCAGCTAGTGTACACGCATACGTCTAGTCGCACGCACACAAACACCGTGCCGAAGTCCGCCGAGTGCCGAAGTCTGCCGAACTGAAACGACGTTAGACGATGCATGGCTTTCAACGCCACACCTCCGTGCCCGTCGGAGTGGGGATTTTGAATTCTGGATTCGGTCCCCGCGCTCAAGGCCCGCGATAGAAGCTATGCAATAGCTTAAAAACCGAGCAAAGCTCGGTCATCCGGGTATTGTGATATGATATGATAATTAGTGTACTTATGAGGTATGTACTTAGTATAGATACAGTTATATAACCTATTTATAAAAGCTAATTTACTTAAAGAAACCCACATATTAATTTATTTTACAAAAAGAAAACATAAAATGAAAAAAAGACTGCTAGCAAAATTTTATTAGAAGCCAACATAGTCTCATATAAAGGTGATTGTGGAGCTTATCGGTGGCAATGATTTCAAAAGGAAGTATAGGCCCATCTAAATATTTTACTCATAACTTTTTCATACAAGAAAGATTAGTGCATCTGTTATAATACAAACGTCATACCATAATACGACGTAACCAGGGTCTGATTTCGTAGTATAATTATCCTAATTGTACCATTATTTCATAGTTTGTAGATTATAATATCGTAATAATACTAAGCGAAAATACCATAATTTTACCTAAACGTCGACTTGTATTATTATTGGGTCCTTTTACTTTTTAATATCTACGACATCGAGAATTTATGTATACATGAGTACCGCATTTTTAATAAAATTAGAATTAACTCCCTTTCTTGTCAATCGGTGCTCGATCGATGCATTTATGTTGCATCCTTGATACAACTATATTATGGGGCTACCACGATATACGAAAGAAGAAGAAGATACGAAACTATGCTCCAGAAGTAATCAAGTTTGAAAACAAAATTTCTAAATATTTTATAAGTCAGATTTTCAGATTCAATTAAGCAGATAGGGTTTCTTTTGTACTCTTTTCGTTTTACCCTTATTGAATATAAAATATATTAGTAACAAAACAAATATTCAAAATTAAACTTACATTAAGTTCTTTAGACAAAAATAAAACAAAAATAAAAATAAAACCATCAAAAACGAAACGTATATATAAACTAGACGCGTGACGCCAAAATCCCGGCACATGGGTAAAAGAAACATGAAACGTCAAACATGATATGATTTTTTTAAAATAGTATAATTTTATTTTGCATGTACAATATTTTTGAGGAACTGAATTCAACCCTGGCCTAATCTTGGTAACGTAACTAAACTAACTGTAAAATAAAACTTTAAAAATGCGTTTATATAATAATTTAATAGTAACAAAATTAATATAAAGTTATTAACCGATGATACGATATCCCATGTTCCTTTTTCATCTTTGTATCGTAATTTTTGCATCATTTTATCACGCAACTAGACATGTTTATGACAGGCAAATCTGTCCTGCGCGCGCACCACAGTCGACTGATTCGCGTTGGCCCTAAACTGCTATTTTAGGGCCAGCGCACTGGTCCATTTTAGTTGTTAGGTTGGCCAGGTCCTTACGCTAGTAATATAAAAATCAATGGTTGGTGGCCGTCCCCGACTCGGCCAGGCCTTTCCGACTCGGCAAGTGTCGTTGTATGCGTTCTGTGTCTCGTGCGTACGAGTCTGTACAATAGAACACTATTACTTACTGTCACGTGCCAGGCACGCACACATATTAGCGGCGTTTGGTACATTTCTTAGAAGATAACCTACTATTTAGTTTTTTTAATATGGTCGTAGGCAGACTCAATGAGTCGCAGACCTAAGACTTATTGTCAATAAGGATAGAAGCTCCGACTTATTATTGTTTTTTTTAGTTCTTTGAAGACGGCTTTAACATTTTATTAAAAGTTAATTCTTTACCCTAATGATTATCAAATTCCATACTTTATATGAGTATTATACTTTATCCAAACTTCACACATTTGTTTGCATATTTATGCTTGACTTGTTTCGTAAACCAAAGTTTAGTTTAAACCTAAAACTAATTTTAAACTACCTTTTGTAGGTAATAATTTTTGTAATAAAAGTACTCAAAGAGAGCACTTCGATATAAAGTTTATTTAATGACACGTAATAATTAAAAATAATAATCATAAATTAGACAATTACGCAATATTAGTGTTATAAAATCTCTAAGCCTTTAGCAGCGCGTGTTGAGAAATTAAAATATGAAAATATAAATATAAAAAGAAAAAGGTCGCAATCATACAATGTCGGGCTATGAAATATTTTGTCATATCAATTTATAATCCAATGTCAATAAAAGTTAATTACAATATATGTCCATAATTAAAATTACATCTTAAATACAAAGTAATAAATAGTATATAGTGAAGAAAATTAAATTGTCGAATTATTAATTGTCTTAATATCGATAATTTTATAAAAAAGATTCAGCAGCAATGAACTCTCCTTCATACTTTTCAGGCTTAGGACTTTCTATGATTAATGTAAACGTTATTGTTACATTAATGTAATTTTTAAGCAATTATAGGCGTGTTTAATAAGTACAATACTATTTACTAAGTACAATAGTGATTTTGTAGGGCATGCCAGCGCAAAGCGCGTGGGTATGTTCTACTAGCAATGATTTCAAAAAGAAGGATAGGCCCATCTTAGTATTTTACTCATAACTTTTTCAAACAAGAAAAAGTAGTGCATCTGTCATAATAGAAACATCATATCATATACAATATCATATATAAAAAAAACGCCAAAATCCCGGCACATGGGAAAAAAGAAACATGAAACTTCAAACGTGATATAATTTTTAAAAAAAATAGTATAATTTTATTTTCCATCTACAATATTTTTGAGGGTCTGATGAAAAGTACCCGTAGCCAACTTTTTAATAAAATTTCAATTAAAATCTGAGTTTGATCAGTCTTTCAAAAGCTGGCCATAATTCTATTATCTAATAAAGCACAGTTTTGTATTACACTAAAAAACCCTTCACTGCTGAACGTAAGAGGAAGCTCAAAGTCGCTCAGCGAGGTACGGAGACGACTATGTTCGGGGTTTTCTTAATGATAAACTTAGAAATAAGGATATCCACAGTAGAATCAGAGAGACCTACATAGCCCAACGGATTAGTAAGCTGAAGTGGTAATGGGCCAGCCACATAGCTCGAAGAACCGACAACCGATGGAAAAAAATGTTCTCTAGTGGCAGCCTTCTACCGGTGGGCGAAGGGTAGGGCGACCTCCCAATAGTAGGAGTGATTACCGAGTAAGATATGCAGGAAGTTGATGGATGCAGGTGGATCAGGACTGTGCTGTGTGGCATTCCTTGGGGAGACCTATGTTCAGCAGTGGACTTGTGAAGTGCTGTAATGAATGAAAAAACACTAAAAATCACTTTTACCAAAGCTAAACTTATGCGGACCATGATATGATGATTTGTTTATCGATAAAAAGTC